TCAAATATGTGGAGTGAGTTCATGAAATTGTTTAAACACAATATAAAATCCTCAAATATCATAAAAAAAATTATCTCCAAACCCTCTCCATATTTCAGATAAAATCACCCTTTCCATTAGTCAATTTATTCAGCCTCCCAAAGTAAAATTCGATACTGGTCTCTGCTATTCCTCACGCACAGTCAAAATATATTCTACTCGAAGGGACCTCCAGCAAGTAAAATTTATGCGCGCTTTATTTGATCTGCTGCCCTGGCGGCGACTCTGTTTAACGGTTAATTATTCAAGCGGTTAAACCAAAACATAAATTTACAAACAAAACTTCAAAATACAGCACAGCAAGAGAGAGAGAGAAAAATGGAATTATCGAATAACAGGTGCATTTGTTGCTGGGTTACTTTAATTACACTGGATGCGACTTCAAATGTGATTTACGAATGAACTTATGCTTTCACGAGTGAAACAAAACAAAACTAACGGAAAAAACTGCTGCAAACGATTAATTTTTAACTTTAAATACTGGTTCAAATACATTATGCAAAATTGGAAAATTAAAACAACGTAAAAGGAAAACAACAGAGGACTTGAAGTCATGTGCTAACAAAGTGGTGTTTCGACCTTACACACAAATTACACCTTTAGTGTTACACACTTCATGTCGTGAAACAAAAAGCTCCGTTGAATTAATCTACATAGAAATGTTTTCCGAAAAGCATTATTTTCGTTCATCCGAGGCAAAGACGAAGTCTAAGTCTTCGGGCACAAGTCGAAGTTTTTGCGTCACTTTTTCCAAGAGTTGGCTGTTTATTTATTTTATTTTCAGTTTAAGCTACAATTTTCGAAAAACAAAACAAAAAAAACGTCAAGAACCAACTAGAGTAGCCTATAAGACCGTCCCTGGTAGTAGTAATCTTGGTGGTTTTGAAACAGTTCAAAGGACAGACGGCCTGAGTATATGTTTATTAAGCCATTACGGATTAGAAATAGATTATTAGTTCAATTCAAGGTGACCGCGGTAGCCTATTGGTTAATTCGCCGGTCGAGGAGTGTGGGTTCGAGACCTGGCCTGGTCTTAGGCAACACACTTAGTTTTCACAGTGCCTTTCTTCACCGAGGTTAGCATTCAGAGAGGTTACATTCAGATGAACTGGTATCTCATTCAAGGGGGGGAGTAATAACACTCCTAGTCGCTTAACGCTATGGAAATGGGGATAAGCTTTATCTTAATGGGCCGCTTAGCTCGAATACAGACTAAAACAACTGAGAGAGGGGAAGAGGGTTTGTAACTTTTAATCTTAACGAGCTACCTGCAAAACTATTACATGATACAAGAGTCATGGTTGTCCGATATATGTAATCTTGTACGGTAACAATCTTTCTAACCCTAATGGCGGTGTTGGTAGTTCTTTCATGAATTTTTAGAATAACCAGCAAATATTTGTTTAAATAATTGTCCGTTTTTTTTTGTTCTCCTAACAGTGGAGATCAAAGCGACTGGTTCTCTTGAGTTGCGTAGCTGCTGGCGACTCAAACTCCTTTATGTTACATATCTTTTTTTTGTTTTTGGATTTTGTAATTCTGTGAAACTCTTAAAAATAGCATCAACGAGGCAGGTAGTTTATCAAGAAGAAGACCTTCCCAAGTTCCACAAAGAAAACTTAGCTTCAAAATACACTCTTTTAAAACATTTCTTATCAGTTTTCCGGGTTACCTATCTTAGCAGAGATGTTAGATCGAATTTTGTCCACATGTAGATATTATTCGAGCGAGGGAAACGCTGCCGATGGAAAGTGGTAATATCCCGGTCCTTTCATGCTTTGCGAACAGGTAGCACGGTACCAGCACTACCTGTGAATATTGTGTGATTAAAAATTGGGTTGTAAAACGCCATCATATCGAGAAGAAACAGTAACACGAAAGTGTCATGGCTGCGTCGCAAAATGAATGTCGAAATAATCATTGCTAGGGGAAGACAATTTTGAAAAACTTAACTAATCAACTAAATCCAGCGGATACAAAATTGCAAAAGTAAATAAGCTCTTTAATACATGTTTTAGTGTTTGGTGTTTGTAATCGCTTATTGGCTCAATTGTACAGTTGCGAACGCTTTGTTAGACGGCAGTTAGTCCGATTAAATACCACGATTGGAAATATAAAACTTGTGTAAAGTGTGTATCATATACCGAAAAGACCCTTTCTTCAACGACCAGTAATCACTCGCAGACGAACGACTCAGCGAAATAGGCGACTGCTACTCCCTCAAGCAGAAAAACACTTCACAACCTACTTTAACTAAAGAGGACACCAATTTAGTCTGCAATACTAAAAGTGAACGTAGAACAAACTTAGATTCACTGCATTAAATTATTTCCTTTGTAAACCCTTTTTTTTTTTCTTCAGTAAATCACTCGCGGACGAGACGGCAGTTAGTCCGATTAAATACCACGATTGGAAATATAAAACTTGTGTAAAGTGTGTATCATATACCGAAAAGACCCTTTTTCAACGACCAGTAATCACTCGCGGACTAACGACTCAGCGAAATAGGCGACTGCCACTCCCTCAAACAGACAACACTTAACAACTTATGTTAACTAAAGAGGACACCAGTTTAGTCTGCAACACTAAAAGTGAACGTCGAACAAATTTAGACTCACTACATTAAATTCTTTTGTTTGTAAAGCTTATTTTTCTTGTTTATAATTTGGAACATTTCTTTTTGTTTCCGTTTCACCGATAAAGTTTTAATTATGCTACGTATTTGTAAGCCTTAAATCGCTCGCACTGTCCTATACTACCTACCAAGATATATCTTGTTTTTTTTTACGAATTCATCAGGATGCCACAAGTCAAGTTAAGTCGACCGTTTGACAAAAAGAAGGTTACTTTTACTGCGGTCGTTTAATTATTAATTTCGCCAGTTGCGTCTGCTTTTGTCAGATATCAATTAATACCACATTTTTACAGCTTGAATACTGAAAAGTGCAAGACATAAGCTGACTACCAGCAAAACTCACTCACGGAGGACCATGAACTGCCTATATGAAATGTTCCTATGAGATATGACTTCTAAATTAAACAACATTTTATTCGACACATCGAGATCACCTAGAGGTCAGAGAAAGAGTGCGTTGGACGAATCGATACCATAAGGTGCGTAGATAGAATAGGTACAAAAGGAAATCTATTTGAGATCATCTGGAAATTCATCTTTGATCCTGCAATTTAGAACAACTTATAAAGTTAATCTATCAAACTCACTCTGCAGTTTTCAAGTAATCTCCTCTTTTGAACTTTAAAATACTCGGCAAAAATACCAAATCTCATTTGGCCACTTGTAAACAGGATACTGGTAAAAACGAACACGACAAGGTGGATTAAAACATCTTGATTTGGTTTCTTCGGTAAAATTATAGCATTTTGTCCAACACTTGTGAATGATTTCTTTGTAGAAGACATCAAGGGGTATAAGTGGTGTAAATATGCATAAAATTGGAAAAATTCGGATTTGAAAAGTTCATCTCAACTGACCAGACTGACGTGTTGTAAACAGTTTCGTTTTCTATTCAGAAGGCTCTTTGGGTAGAAATCTATAAACAGGCTCCCTTTTTAAAGATATTTCGAATTCATTCTTATTCAGTTTGAAATTTAGAAGCCGGAATTTGCACCAGTTAAAAATGGGATGTTTGACTTGAAGGCACTGAATTTGAACCAAACGCGCAAACTTTAAAATAGAAAAAAGCAAATATATAATACACGCCACTGAAAAGAAGACAACTGATAAACAAACTCGAAAGACTGCTCCATTGTAAGGCTCAAAAATTACTTCAAGTGGTATGTAAAGAAACATGCGTCATTAACTTATAGAATCATTTAAAGCTTGGAGTGAAATATAGTCTTAAGTCCACGTTCGTCGTAAGCCCCTTCATTTTAGAGACAGTCTTTAAAAATTTAAACCTTTGAAAAAGCTATCGTTTTTAAACTACCGGTTCGTTAACAAGAACTTGGGAGACGTTCAAGTAGTGCTACAATACAACTTAACTGACACGTGAGGGTGCGCTTTTGTTTTAGATGCCCTTGTGTTAATTCAATTTTTTGTAAGAATGATCATCACTTAGTCTTTAATAGGGATGGGCCTTTGTCCAACACACTTCTATCTGATGAGTCTGCCTCAGTCTTAGCACAGAGTGTTGTTTAGCTTTTCGAGTTGATAAGCACAGGTTGAAACTCATTAAAAGTCATTCAATACCTATTTATAGGACGTCTTTCATGTAACATAAACAAATTTGACATACCTTTTAAGTTGTATCTTTAACTTGCCACTCATTCCGAGTCACTGCCAAAGGATCCTTGTTACGGGCAAATGATTACCGATGTCTCTCTAGTTGCAATTCGTTGATGTCAGTAAACTGCAATTAAACCTCCCATTACTGTCATTTCTTTCACCTTTGAAAATAATAAAGTTAAGTAAGAGTAAGAGTTGAATTGGTTTTAATTCGTACATCATTCATTCTCTTTGGCTATTATGATGGTACAGTGCTTAAGTTCAAGGTCTAGCCCTACCACGAGGTTTGCATATGGAAAATGGGGTTTCTTTAATCAAACAAGCAAGCAAATACCTCCAAAAAATACAACAAAAAACAATCATTTTTAATGGTCTCCAATCTTCAGCGTGTGATATGCTTATTCATGTGTAAAAAGAATATGTCAGAGCTCTAAAATCCTCCAATGTTGTTTAAAATAGATAGCGCAGTTTAAAAGTGTCTCACTAAACAGCAATATCTAAATGACTCAGCTTAAAATGTCGAATTAAAACGTTAGCTTATTATTTGTTTTTTATATCTGGTAAAAAAAGGTTTAACTGGAATTTTATGTATTCATTAAAACATTTCCTTTCTCGCCTCATTTTAAACACGTTAAGACGTTTCGGTCCCATTTTCGGCCACTTTCCCAAGTAATTATGCAACATTTTTCCCGTAGATTGTACTTCGAAAAGCAGAATGAAGCATGTCCCTTTGGTGCTTCTCGTTTTTGGGTTATGTACACTTAAAGAAACATGTGAGGCTACCGGCGCTGAGAATTCTGCGCTGGGAAGAGTGATAGATCTTCGAAAGGTAAACTTATTGGCCGACTTCCAAGAGCAAGAGAACAGGATCTTTGAGGAGCTCCCCCCGAAATGTCTCGTGAAAAAAACTTTGATGTTCTCGAGCAGCCACTTCGAATATTATGCAAATACCAAGGAATTTTATAAATTACTTGCCACCCAGTCAAGCTTGAGCGCCTCTTTGCAGTCCGCCTACTCGTTGGGTGTTACGGTATCAGTAGCAACAAAGAGCAAAAGTTCACAGCAAACTGGAGTGGCATGTCTTTAATCAAGCAGGCGTTAACAGAAAAGATCCACGTCAATAAACAATGTCTAGTGAGTGACAACATCTCCACCTTTAAAGGAACATTTCTAAAAGACCTCGAGAACTTGCCCGTAAACATCGAAAATCCAAACTCATGGAGAGAGTATCGTAATTTTCTCAAGAAATACGGTTCTCATGCTGTAACGTCTGTGAAGCGCGGATCAAGATTTCAGCAGATGACATTCGCAGAGAGTTCTAAAGCTTACACTGAAAGAGATTTCTAAGTAAAAGCTTGCGTTTCGGCCGCAGAACCTACCCAGGTTGGAAAGGTTGGCGTCTCTGCATGTTTAGAAGTAAGCCAAAGTGAGATATCCAAAGCGAGCAAGATGAGCACAAGTGAGAAACGCTTTGTCAAAGGTGGAAAAAGGGAAACAAATAGCAAGCTGGCAAACAGAGCAACGTCGGTTGAATTGCTTGGCCAACTCATGTGTGAAGCAGATGAATTTCCCGTGTCTGTTCAGCACACCTTCCTGGCGATCTGGACCATCCTACAGAGCCGATTTAAACAATAATATCCTAACAATATCCGAGCCACAAACCTTGAGTACTACTACCTTGGGTTCCTATGGTTCTTATGAATTATGGTTGTCCCTTCATTAGTAGCTCAGGACTTACCGTACAAAAATTTGACCACACCAGAAGCTCCAGGGAGAAGTATCCAGAATTCGAGTGTACCCTAGCAAAAGAGGGCTGCTGCAATGGCGATGACTGTCACTACAAACCCATTTGGTGCTCCTGTCGTGGTCCAACATGTGTCCATTACAAGTCAGTGAAACAAGGTGCAGATGACACTAAGGTAATTACATACCCAAACACATTTGAGGACTGGAGGTGATTTGAAACTTGTGGGATCTTGGTACAAGTGCTATAATGAAAATCGTGATCAGCGGAAAACTGTGTGGTCCTTGCCAAACAGAGATGCCGTTACACATAAAGCATCAACCGCTGCAAAAAAGGCAGAAGATTAATGTCTCCAAAGTACACCGCTGGAAAATAGAAATGAAAAACGAAAGAAACTTTAAATTTTGACGCACTTAAGAGCTAGTGTCAGCATGCATCAGACACACAGCGGCAAGTCACCCAAAATTTGCTTTCCCTACTACTTTCATATTTTGTAGCCCAAATGTTCTAAAAATTGTGGTGTAGTTTTTTTGCGAAAATATTTTTAGTTTTCGAGAAATTATTTTTTTCGTTCGACCGCTAAAATATGCAAATTTTCAACGTGAATATTACCCGAGTTGTGTGACCTCATGCAACGAATATACTAGACCTACGGTATTTCTGTCAACATAATACCTTGTTTTATCATCTAAACTTAATCCCCTGTCATTATCGAAGCTGGCAAAGAAATATTTATTTTTTGGTAAATATTTTTGTCCGACATACTTTTCCTATGTCGAAAAGTAGCATCAAAACAAAGACAGTTTTAACAATGACCGATATGACAGAATCTACTGAGCTTCAAGTTTTTTAAAGACAAAAGGATGGTCATAAAGTGACTGTAAAAATTTCCTCGTGCATTTATGTTGTTCTATCTTGAGACGAACTCAAAGTCCGGCAAAATTTACTTGATAGCGACTATGAAATATACATGGTGTGCCTACTTGTCGCCACCGTTAACCGGCATAAGTTACTACAATTTGCAAAAAAGTCAAACATAGCACTCTTACCTTGTTTATTTATGATTTTATGAGCTGTTTCGATGATCATGTTGATTATGCTCTACCACATTCTAGCCAGATTTGATTTCCAGTTTATATATCTTCTCTATCTTATTATATCAGTTGCATGACAAGCGTGACACAGAAATTCAAAAATGAATCAACCTCCGAAACACTAAGAGATGGGTTTTTTCCTCTTTTCATGACATCTAGAAAAACCTTTCAGGAGTTACTGCATTAAGAAAACTAAAATGTCCAGATTCATCAATGATTCCTTTGCCGGCTGAAGTCACAGAATGGTTTGTGACATTGTCATCTCAGTTTAGGCATAAGTCTTTTTCTTTTTTTCACTCAGAAAATATAAAACGTTGATATATTTAGGTTCAGAGTTGAGCTGTTCTTAATTAACGTACGGAGCAAACATTAATTCGATAATTTTCTGTATACAGTTCAAGTAAACTGGAAAAAGCTGAGCGCCGTTATTTCGTCCCTTTCGCGTCGACAGAGTTTGAAAGGATCCATGATTTACCAAGAGAACCTATTCCATAAATTTACAGAAGAAGGTTTTTGAATAAGTGTGTTGTGAAAAGTATAATTACCAAATAAAAAAAAAATTGGGCAAAGAGAATATGATTTTGAATAGTTTCACGAGTTCCTTTCTCTAGTAAACCACACAGACTGATAAGTGATCTCCACTGATGGTCACTTCAACAATATTCAATCACAGTTTGGCTCTGGTAAAGTCTGTTTCAAAATAATTTTTGTGGAACGTAGGGTCTCTCATTCTTCTACTAAAACATCGTGGCTCTAACTGTTAGGTGTTTCCTTTGTATATTTAAAAGGCACTGCTAAACTCCTCAGCAAAACTCTTGTAATAAAACAAGAATTTTATGTTTTGAATGTTTTTTTTTTCATCATAATTAATGTTTTATATTTCCAAATTATTTCTCCCAGTTATTCCTCCAGGAAACAAATAGGGCGAGTGTAAGTTATCGATGATGATATAAACATCATTATAAATTCATAATCGAAAGTATTTGCAATTGTTAAAAGTTCATTTCTACTTCATTTTTGTTTGAAGTTCAGTTTTCCGTTTTAAAAGCCTCATTCACTTATTTATATACCATCATGATAATATAAGTTGTTTTGCATTATGATATTTCTGGTTTTCTTTTGAACAGACATTTTAAAACAAATATGATTGATTTATTGATTGAGAAACTCACATATAACAGACATTCATACCTCTTCTATATCTCGCTAACATCAAAAGGACACAACTCATAATTTTACTTCTCATTGGGAACAAACTATCAACTCCGCTGTTTTCAGCCTTCTGAATATCCGGTGATCCGCCGCTAATCTATCCAAAACACGAAGTAAACCAAACAATGTTTACTTGTGTTGTTCAAAGCATCCATCAGGTATACAATGTAAAATTTAATAATTTGTTACACAAATTGGCTCCACGTGAACAAAGTCGTCATAATTGTACAACTTTCCTCTGTCTAATAATTGTAAAGCGACGGACAAATTTTTCAGGAAGAGAGAATGAACTCTCACTCACCAAAAAGAAGGCCTGTCCTTGAGGATATAGTGAAATCAGCTAGAACATCCTTCCTCTGACGAAATTATAACAGAACAAATAATAAAAAAAAGGATTTTCCCGGCAAAAACCAAATTTGCATTTCGTGTTCACAATTGTGTTTGATCACAGTACTTTAGCCTAAGGCTAGTTTACTCTCAAAATAGACCACTACACTTAAGATCAGGGAAGTGCATCTCTTAGAATGATAACAAAATATAGGTTTTTTTAACTGTAGATTTTTGCCAACTTATCTAAAAGTAGGTAAAGTGTTCAAGCGGTTAATGGGTTAAAAATATCGGACGGTTATTCGAGCAAAGTGAGCAATCATTGAAAATCTTGCGATATGTCCTCACTTTCGCTAGAACCTAACTAAAATTACGATTCTATTATGGTCCTGAAGAATCAAATCTGTGAAATGTTTACATTTTGATTCAACGCCAGCATCTCCCTCTCCAAATATCAGCCAGTCATTATTTATTCCTAGTTACTTTTGTTCTTTGAGAATATAATCTTCTGGACCTTATTCCCTTCGTCAGTTTTTCTATCATTGATGGTTTTGTGTTTCAGCAATTAACTATCCCAGCACTAATTTTTTTGAGCCTATTATCTGACAATTCAGCTTGAACAGTTTTAGTCAACCGAGTGAACGGACAGTTGCTACACAATGAGCAAGTTTTATCGATGATCACATGGACACGTCAGCATAGCTCAATACGGGAAGCCTATCGCATAACCATATTCTTAGAATTTTCATCGAACTCTCGAAAAACTAAACAAATTGACATAGAATTTTGAGGTCCCTCATCATCAATCCTTCCATAGAGTGTGAAACTTAAGCACTTCCATGAAATGCCGAGTGCTAGTCTAAGAATTCCTAAACATCAGAAAGTGAAGTTATAGCTTCATCGAGACTCGGAGTAAAAAAAAAAAAAAAGGAAAAAAATGAGACCATCATGGAAGTAAAGTTGACCTCAATATCGTTTTCTATATAATTCAAATAAATCATGGAACTATATTGTATTTGCCAAAGAACGCGGTTGTTTTCGTTATTCATTAATCCTGACGAGACGGCTTTACATATTCAGCGTTTTCATTACTGATTTTTAATGTAAAGTATAATTCTTGAGGTGAAGTAAAGGCTGTTATGTTACAATTGCTTTTTATGTTCTTCTTCCTTTGAAGTCTTAATAGAATCTTGTCGAGTAATCCTTTCTGTAAACAAACTGTATGTTGTATGGAAATTCTGTGAAGTGCGGTTAGGAGCCTTTTAGGTTCACCAGAGCAAAATGAAAATAGCACTTTCTGTAATTATGGGCCTGAGAAGTCAAATTTATGTCATTTAGATACTTATATCTAAAACGAAGATATCCTTTTCAGATATCACTGTATTTCATAAGTCCCAATATTTTTTGTTCTGTGACAGTGGATAGCTAGGGTAAACAAACGACCTTGATCATTCTCTTCTACCTTTGGTAACCTTGTTAATCTGTTACTTTTTGATGCAATAAATCATGATCTCAGCTCTAAAACTCATGAGCCTATTATCTGACAATTCAGTTTGGACGGTTTAGTTAACCGAGTGAACAGACAGTTGACAAACAATAGGCAATTTCTATTCCTGATCATCTGGACACGTCAGTATTGCTCCGTCACACGGAATAAACACAGGATAATAGAACAGTTTTTGTGAGTCATTTGTTCAACTTGATCAGATTTCAAGCAGACCAAGGTATTTACTTTCACTTGGCAACTTTATTAAGAAGGAAACCTCTCAGCGATAAGTCAATTTTTTCTCAGGGACACCCTACTCTTTAATGTTGTTCCTTAGGTTATGTCTTCTACCTCGTAATAAAAGAAAGAGAATATCATATTTTCAAAATAATTGCTATTTTCATTGCACCTTGTTACTCTGGTAAGTAGGCTCATTTCATCGTGGCAAAGCTGTCTCGTACATCCCCTCCCCCCCTAATATTTTCATTCGCTTATAGCTTTCAATTCTAAAAAGTTTACTTCAATAGCATGGAATTACACGTCATCTTTTTAATAAAACCAGGCTAAGGAGGCAAGAAATAATGAATAACCCTTTAAAGAAAGGTTTGTCCCATAAATACTGCTGGATTCTAGAACCCAAAGATTCAAGTGATGCTCTGTTGGGAAAAATGATTTTATATAAAGAAAACTTTGGAATTATGCGACTGATAATATTTTGCTAGTTAAAATGATAATTAGGTAAACTAAGTCTCGTCAGTCGCTTTTGAATAATTGCAGTTTAGTGTTCTGATCTACGGTTGCAGTCAACCGATTTTTTTCCTTTCGAACTCGCTTGCAGTAAATGGCGACATTGCAAACACATATAGCTCCACGAGAATGGTTTTAACAAAAAGGTGCACACTTATATCCTAAATCCACGGCAATTTGCTCTCTTTATTTTTATTTTTTTTTTCAGTCGTATTTTACATTGAATGAATTTGCGTGTTTCCTACTTAGTAAAAGCAAACGAGAATTTTTTCTCAACTCACAGTATTCATATCAACCATTACATTTTTGAAAAATTCCTTAAAATGATGTAAAGCGAGCTGAATTCTTGCTATGGACACCTTTCCTTCCACAGATCAAAACATTTACTTTTTTTTACTATAGTTATTAGTGAGAATTTACTTAAAGACCAAACAACTCATCATCACTGATAAGGGTTTAAATTCTCCTTACCAGATCACTGTACAAGATAACGATGTTTTATGGAGACATAAGAAGTTCATCGTAGTCGGTCAGTTAGCATATCATAATCTATAAACTACAAATTCTCATTGTGCATTGTAAACAATACTCACAACACAAGCCCTTGAACATCCTGAATTTTCCTGTTATGGGGCAAAATAAACAGAGCTAGAGAGTTGTTCCCTGTATGCTGACTGATTCGTCTGCCATTTCATATCGGAGGGCACTTAGAGTGAAAATGTTTCGATTACTCTTTGTGTTGGCTCTTGCCTTTTTATTGAGTTCCTTCGCAAATTCACAGAACAAATCTGCGAACCAGGTAACCAAATTGTAGTCTAATCGGAATTAGAGTGAGAGTGAGAATTTTTGTGTTTTGCTCGAGCGTGTAATTTCCCAATCAACCCCTTTGATTTCATAACTTATGGTTACGCTTTTCGTTTTTATCTAAAAACTTTTAACAGAGTCATGGAACAGCAACAAAATCAAACTGCTGTGCCTCACAAGCTGGATACTGTAAAGTTGGTGGGTAAATAATAAAAATACTTCAGTACTTGTTACGAGCATGTAGTTATTTGCATTTGCTCTATGGGCGAGAAAGAAAGAAATTCGAGTTTCTTTACTGATGTTTGGTTTCTGTTGATTTCTGGAAAGGAAAAGACGGAAAAGATGGACAAAACGGTGAGTGTGCGAAAGTTACTTTATGGTTCATTCATACAGTAATTGACTTAAAAATGAATAACTTTTCACGATAAAAATAAACTATTTATTTACCTACCTAACATGAGAAAATTGATTTGCTTTTTATGCAGGAAAAGATGGACGCGATGGAATAAACGGTGATGTTAGTTATTTATTCAAAGTGAATTTTTTATTTAGATTGGAAATATTTTCAGCGTGATTCCTTCATAAACAAAAGTGGTTGGGACGGTTATTCTTGATATTCGGGGAGGGGGATGGTGGAGGACTTTAGGGAGATCACATGGTTTGAAGGGGGTACAGATGGGGGATCAGTCATCGCTAACAGAATATCAAGGGGGGACTATAGCAAAATGACTGTCAATTAGTTGCCAAGGGGGGGTAGGGGTGGGGAATCACAAGAATATTACATAGCCTTTGGGGAGGATCAGGTAAATTTCATCGTGACACTACCAAACTCCTCGGGCTGACTCACTGACTGGTCCCCTATGAGAATTCAACGAAGACAAAAAAAAACGAAAACCTAGTAACGTGATGATTATAGTAAATGTTAGAAACTAAAAAGTTGCACTTGTGTAAAGTTAATATTCCAACGAGTTTAAATGACTGAAAATTACTGTGTATAGTACATTTCTTGGGAAACGAAGGTGTAACATGTGAAACCTTTTACAAAGTTGAAACAAAAGAAGTATTATGTAAAAGATAAAAGGTGACTTTTGTTGCTGTTTTCATTTATCTGTGTTTTCACATTTTGTACTGATCGCCAATATTTTCAATATAGGACGAGATGGACGCGATGGGACATTTGGAGCAAAGGTTATGTATTTTTAAAACGATGATGTAACCGTTGTTTAAAAAAAAAATGACATTGAAACGGACCTGAGAATACAGATGTGTTGAACAGTATATGACGTACCTCTCCTTGTTAGTCGTGTACTCATAAGTACATTAATCAAACTGTTGTCATGGTTATCGAGATTATTTTGATCCATTTTAAATTATCCAGGGAGAGAAAGGTGAACCAGGCATGCATGGTGTGAATGTAAATGCTAGCATCAAGGTTGGTAAAATTTATATTCAGCATATCTAATTTAAAGATATGATAATCTTTATACTTTTAAATGCAAAAGTTGAGTGATTTTCTGGCTGATTTTTTTGGCTTTGATCTGATTGACACTTCAACTGTTACCAATTATTTAGTTGGAATATTTGAATTGTGATTACTGTAGGTATCCCAGCCAAGAAGATTCAGTTATACCATTAGGTTTTGGCAAGGGAGAACAATTTATCATTCCGAAATATAAGAGTTCTCTTGCTTCTTAATTTTCTCGTATTAGAAATTTATCTGAATTTGACACTGTCACTGTCCTAAACTAGGACCTGCAAAAAAAAAAAAAAAAAGCTACCATAATAGTAGGACTAAGAACCCCTTTTAGGACCTGGTAGGGACTGGTAATTATTAACAGAGAGGGGTGGGGAGGGGGGAGGACAACGGCTTCTTTCTAAAGAAAGTTATGAGGTGTATGAAGCTGTGTATTTAAGCTGTGTTTCGTCCAACACAGCTTAAAAGATAAACCTAAAGAACATTAACTTCTCAAAGTTGTTTAAAGACGGATAGCGAAACAAGTTCTTCCCTTCAAGTCCGTGTCATACAACCTTTTGATAAGCTCGATTTTTCATCGAGGGCGAGAAAGGATCTGTTGGACAGAAAGGATCACGAGGACAAAAGGGACAGAAAGGATTGCCGGGAACATGTGATGACCTGGTATGGAAGATATAATGGATAGAAATCATCACTTTAAAGCGTAACATTCCTTGTGTACTTCTAAAGTAATGACACATTATAACAAGTAATTTGCTACTTTTTCTTTCATTATTGTTATTATTTTGGCAGTTATTGTGTGATGTTCTTTGACATGTAGAAGCATAAAACAATGATGAATGATAACGAGGTTTTCAATAATTTTTTACAGAGCTCCTCGTCATCTTCCGGGAAAAGGTGTTGTAAGGATGGTAGGAATAATTTTTCACTTGTTTTTATGGCTACTGTCTCCTATAGAAGACGAGGTCACATATGTCATCAAAATGAGTGAGTGAGGGAGTAAGTGATCATGAGTGATAGTAACAATAGAATTCCTATCTTTATACAATTCTTACTCGATGTTCACCGTGCTACGGAACACTATAGAAGACGATAAACATCTCCCAATAATTTCCGGATGGCGCATGAAAAAACAAAGCTTTTTTTTTTTAAGAAACATCGCATAAGGTGTGATCGGCGCATCATGAAGAACCCAGAGGAAAACTTTTTTCTTTGAAGGGGGAGTACCTTGCCGTTTGAATACCTTCACTATTGTTATCATTATTATTATTACTATTATTATTATTATTATTATGATGGTATGATTATTTGGCACCAATTTATCATTGGTTATAATAATCATCAACTTTATTTTTCGAGGGTGGCACTTGACAGTATAAAATACTGATAAACTCGTGGTTAAGTATCAATTAGTCACTATATTCTTGAATCATCTTTCTCTTGTGTTACAGGATATTCATAAATGTGAGATGCGGCAGGTTTTCTGGTTTGTATATGAGACAAATCTTGTACGACACTACCTTTCATCATCATTATACAATCTCCACATCTTTTCAGCACTATAAAAATTGTGATATATCAGTAGCCCCTGCATTCCTAAACTACTTACTTCTTTGATGATTGCCGTTTAAGAGCATAGTAAAACGCCCCTTGCAATTTCAATGCAAGCTCAAGGCATAGTTCGCTGGAATAAATTTTTACTTGATTTTTAAATGATAAATATTTTTAAGTGCACAGGAAAACACCCCTAGATCAAGGCACAAACTACGTTGTATAGAAGAATACTCCAATTTGGAAAGATGAAACGCCAAATTTGGTTTATAACTTTGATAGCAGTGTGATAAGGTTGAAAGCCTATGAAACGGTTCTATTATTTCGAGAGCTTTTTCAGTGAAATAAAGGTTAATTGAACAAATTATGCTGAAAAAACTTATCACTATTTAGAAGGCAAAAACTATGTTTAATTGAAGAATACTTCAATTTGGATGGATAAAACGCCAAATTGGTCTACCACTGCGATAGCGACGTGATAATCTGTTCGAAAAGTTTCTGATGGTTGCAAGCCTACGAAACAGTTCTAATATTTCAAGAGCTTTTTCAGCGAAATAAAGGTCAGTTGAAGAAATCATACTGAAGAGACTTATTTCCGTTTAAGAGCAAAACCAAAGACGGCAATATCGAGCCGTGTACATCAGACACTAGCTTAATTTTTGTTCGTGGTATACTATTTCTGTTTAATCAAATTTTTTTGTATTGCCTCTGCTTCAATTAAAGCTTTTAGGGAATTCTCATTATAATTTACAAAAAGTGATAAAAAATACCTTCCAAAACGTACGAATAATCAAATGGAAGCTGAAATATTAATCGCGGACAGGAAACAGAATAAGTCTCGAGTGGACATTTATTCTTTGTAAGTGGCTTTTGTTTCAATGTAAATAAGATTTTCTACAAACTTCTGAGTGAAGGTCCTCTTTGATACTTCAGTTTTATATAGTTAACGGCACAATAGATGATAGAGTTTGGACCAATCAGAGCACCCGTTGTATGTCAGTTATGTCAAGATCGGCCAATCCCTCTGTTTGCAGAAATGAACTTATTAAACACAGATTTCGCACTAATCCGAGATGCTCAGCCCCCCTACATTTCCTGAAGCAAATGTTAACATATTGAGCATACAATCGGGCGACGGAGGGGAAAGGGGAAGTGGTAAAATTAGTCCGGTACGTGGATTTTTCTGAAGCCAACATCAACTTGAACAAAACCTGGGAAATAACACCTTGCACAATGCAATGAGTTCGACCTTTTGAGACACTATTAGCCAATTAAAAGAGGCTTGACGCATTAAACCCTTGAACTTGAACCCTTAATCGCATGATCTTTTGAAAATGGCGTTAAAAAATGACCAATTATTTATTGAAGTTTTAATAATCATATATTCATTTTTATGACACTAACTAGCGAGAATACGGACTTTTAGAAACACTCTTAATTTGAGCCTAATGTGCCTGCAGCTAAAAGACGGGTTCGGCAACCCTCATAGTTTATCATTGTATTGCAATAAGTACAGTTTATCGATATTCATCCTTCTCAAAAAATCTTTACATGCGATTCTATTCAAATCGTTCTATTCCCTATTTAACCTTGAATAAAAATGTATGTTCTGATATGCTGATTGAAATTCAGTGATATAGAACTTAGTGTTTTACAGAATGGAATGTTGCTTTGGTAACAGTTTTTGTAGAAAGAATTGTTGAATAACAGTTTCGCATGTTTCGCGAATAAACAGAAACAAAGAATGAGAGGTAAACTCTGTTAATCATTTGTTTTGTTTTTATCAAAGAATGTTCCACTGGTTTCCACTTCTTTGAGAAAGTTCAAGACTTACCAACCAGAGGAGCTACAGCTGTTCAACATTTTATCATTAACGGAAGTCTGTTCCTCACCATTGGGAACAATCGTGGAGATATTCAAAACCACAAGACAAGCTCCGTGGTTTACAAGATGGATGAACCGACTGAAAAGTTCACATTCTACCAGACCCTGCCAACTAGAGGTGTATTTGGCCTTGAGTACGCTTCTATCTCTGATAAACATTTCGTAGCTGTGGCCTATCATTGGGATGGTACGTACCAACTTGACTCTGTAGTCTACCAATGGAATGGACAGCGGTTTGTGGTATTTCAGAAATTACCAACAAAAGGAGCTACACACTTCAAGTTCTTCACATTAAATAGAGACAAATATCTCACAGTGGCAAACCATCATGATGGAAGAACCCACTCAACAAAATCAGTCATCTACAAATGGAATGGCCTCAAGTTCAACAAGTTCCAGGAGATAGCAACTGAAGGTGCCATGGGATGTACGGCATTTGAAATAAACAATGTCACTTACATCGCTTTCGCCAACTTTTACAACTCTCAACACAAGTATTCTGTTCAGTCCACTGTCTTTAAATGGTCAGGAAGACACTTTGCCAAACTACAGTCTCTTCAAACTTATGCTGCACATGACGTGAAGTCTGTAAATATCAATGGTCACACATTCCTCGCTTTTGCCTGCCACTACTCTGGAAGTTCCCACAACACTGACTCGTTTATTTATATATGGGATGGTACCAAGTTCGTTCTTTTCCAATCCATCCCTACTCGTGGAGCCATTGCATGGTATCCATTCGCGATCAGCGGTCATACTTACTTAGGCATGGCTAATTACTACGACAGCAGCGTGAAACATAACACTCTGTCAGTTGTGTACCAGGCCTCTGGAGCACAGTTTATTAAGTATCAAGAGATTTCCACCCATGGAGCGTTTGATATGACATCATTTGAGTACAAAGGTTACACCTATCTGGCAGTAGCAAATCACTACAATCAGAAATACAACATAAACAGCGCTTTGTACAAGTGGGTGTAGAAATAGGGACACAAAACGAAAAGGGTCTGACCAAGGGTCTCAGCTGCTTATGCATTGGTGTAGTCATAGTATTTGCTCAATAATCGAAGAACAAGGTTTAGATTTAGGGATTTTTTGTGAAAATTGACTCTTTGATAAACGAGTGTTTATCAGCCTCTTTAAAGTGAAAGTAGCAATAAAGCTGTGCATTGAACAAGATACTAACGTCTGGTTTAATTCCAATTTTGTTTGAGTAAATAACTTCCACTTTTATTGCTAAAAGTTGATCCCCAGAATAGTAATATCAGACACGTTCAATATTCTGAAATGGACTAAAATACAAATAGGTCATCTGTTGTATGTGTGTCGTCACATAAGTAACACCTCCTTTCCCCCACCCCCTAATGAATTATTTACAGAGACAAAGAGATCAGGGGTGATATTTCCATTTAATTCAGATTATTTTTGGATCCAAGAATGTTGAAAATGGCTAGAACTATAATTCTAAGTAAGAGAATACTTTGAAATTTAAAAGTTCAGGCAGCTCATAACATTCTTTGCTATGAACGCTCTGTTGACTTTAAAAGGAGCATAAATGTAATATAATAACTGTTAAATAGTTTATGATCTCCTCCTCAACAAGGGTTGCTGCTTACATCACTTGTCATAAACATTTTTTCTTTTTGCTTTTAACAGTCATAGAAATAAGCTCGTAGACATAACTTTTTAGATTGAGCATAGTGAGGAAGGAGGCGAAGTCGAGAGTAAAGAGTCGGGGAGTTTTGTCAAAATTTTCAAAATAGCTTACCTTTTCGAAAGCAAATATTTAAAAAAGAATATAAAAAAAAGAAAATTGTTTGCAAAGCTTGTTTTTGAAGCTATGCGAGTTTACAAAATCGAATTTTTATATAATGAAAAAAGGGCAACTGACTACAGATGAAGTGTTGAATACCTCAAGGAGCACGCACAGGTTTCTTTAATTTTCCATCCTTGATGGCTCTGAGCTTTCGACATGATCGAACTTTTCTTTCTGTTTCTTCAATACAGTGTAAAAATGTCCAATTATTTCCGCCTCAACAAATCGTGATCATTTTTATGACATTAGGTTACCATTATAACACCACAGCTTTGAAATAGCCACAAAACATCCGCTTCATCGCATTAAAGGCTTGAAATTTGTTCTAACAAGTTTAACATTCTCTTTAAGGGAGACATCTGCAAACATAGACAAACCCTCGAATCTCTAATCAAAATAAGTCGAAGTTACCATCATCTGATTTTCTGAATTTCCTGAATTTCCTCTTGCTACTAAGTCATCCATCTTTTACAATAAAAAGAGTGTTATATTATGGCATCATGGTAAAAGACCGACCTAGAACTTTTACCAGGTTATCAAAGCCATGTTAACAATTGGTATTAATGATCACTATTGAGATGAAGTACTAGAAATTGAAATATCTAAGAGTAGAGTTTTATTTTTAGTTTAGGCAAGTACCGAGCATATAGGAGCCCCTGCTCCCCCTCCCCGCCATTCACTCCCCCTAAGCATGTCGATTCAGAGCACTGTAGGAATTACCTTACCCCTCAAAGACTAGAAAATTGCTGACTTCTTACGAAAGGAGCCTCGTACCCTCAGCTGGAAAGCTTAACCCGACTATAATAACCAGTCATAAGTAGATTACGAAAACAAAGCCCTCTATAGAGAACAAAAAAAACGAATTTAAATGTGAGAGATGTGATGCATATTATGCAGGCGATACAATTATTTACTATGCAACGGGGAGCATAAATACTCTAAATGTGATGAAACAACAGAAGCAGGCCATCTCGCGTAACTGGTGGCTTTTCTTGTGTGCTGAAGCGACGAGACTTGAAACAGTGGTTAGTTGTCTGTTCACAAGACGAAAAATTCCCATTAAAGTGTTTCCCCTATAGAATGCTTTCCTTGAAATTAGCGTAGGTTGACTATGGCTATAACGAGATGGAAATGAGGACGGTGGAAAAAAACCGACACAAAAAGCTTTCTCTTCACCAAATATGTGTCGAGAGGGCGTAAGAGTTTGCCTAAGAAAGATGTAGAGCAGGTCATGAAGTATTTTTTTATCAAGCGTTGCGGTAAACGGGAAAATGTTTGAGCCATCCTTTTCAAGGGCTTCGGCAATAGTATTAGTGTTTTTATGATCTTAGTTCTGGCGAGGAAGGAAGTGAATTAAAGGTTTCCGGTCGTCTCCCAGTTGATAAGTAATCGAATGACAGGGTACTTGACCGGCGGCGAGAAGGGACACACTTAAAGTCATTGATTGACACCGAAAAACTGGCGCGATTATCCCTCGAGGAATAAGGAACCGCTTTCCTAAAACTGAGAGATTTCTTGGCCATTGAATTCTTCTCCGCGCGGTTGCTGCCGTCCTAGGTTAGGGACTACACTCTGGCGAAGAGAGAGAATATGGCAAAAGCCATGTTTGCAGATGATGCAATGGCGGCCGAACGTGTTTTGGGAAGTTCTCTAAAACTTTTAGCTTTTCTGTTCACCGTTGTATTTATAATTCAGGATAATGTCATCACATTTAAGAAACAAGACCCTGGCGTCCCACAGACGGTTTCAACATCACTTGAGGTGCTGGGGCTTGCCTCCTACTCAACTCTTCGACCGAATGGCAGGTTTAAATCTCGCGCCAGGCGCTTTCTGGCGCTCAGAGTGCAATACACCGTCAAAGCGAGGAACAGCTTTAACTTGCAGAGAAATTTGATAGTATATGGGGATATATTGTCTTATCCTGGTCCTAAAAGAACGAAGATTTCGCCAAAATACCAATGCGGTGAGTCTCAGAAGGCTGTGTCGCACTCTAAGTGTCTTCAGATGTCTCGTCCTATTTTTCAATACTACCATGACAGGCCCGACATTGAGTGGACCTGTCCCACTTGTGTTCTGCCGCCACTGAGTGATTCTTTCTTTGCGGGGTTTTCGGAAGGAGAACTTGCCGAAATCAATGTACTGGAAAGTGATCGAGAGAAAGTTACACAAGAAGATGATGCCGAACGGTCGTTTGGAGAAGAAGATGAGGATATTATCTATGATAATGTACAATTGGAACTTCTAACAAAACACCATAGCAAGGATCTCCTATTAGCTCATCTGAACATTAATAGTGTCCAGAACAAATTTGAAGAACTCAGTGCTATTATCAAGACCTTACGCGCTCACATATAGTTTATCAGCGAAACAAAGATTGATGCAAGCTATCCCAACGCTCAGTTCTCTATTCCAGGTTACTCTCTCTATCGTAATGACAGAAAAAAGGGAGGCGGTGGAACTTTTTGGCACTAATATCTACATCGCTTATTAAGACACAACTTAAACCCGCCAAGAATTACAAAACATTGGAGCTTCTTGCTTTTAAGATCAAGACAGATACAAGCAATATGGTAATTATTGGCATTTACCACCCCCTGAGCCCAATGTGCGGTGAATATCAACCATTGCTTGAAAATGAGCTGAGCGAAATTTGCAATTAGGCAAGTTTACAAAGTAACTTTGTAGTGGCTATGGGTGACCTGAACTTAGACAGGATGCGTCCTGATAAACCTGAGGTCAAATTGCTACTCGACCTCGAAGTCGAACAATGTTCTGAATGCCTAATTACAAAACCGACAAGAACAGGAAAGAGCAGAACAAAAACAACAAATACTCTCGTCGAGGTGTTACTTAGCAACAGACCGGAGTTATTTCAATGCGCTGGGAATTATTATCCTTGCCTGAGTGATCATGCCCTTATTTACGGTATCCTAAAGTATAAAGTAAATCCTAATCGATCAAAAGTCATCACGTTTAGGAGTCATAAGAACTTTGACCCCGAAGATTATAAGCAGCTTCTGTCATCGGCGCCCTGGCATGTTGGACAATTGTTCGACGAAATCGATGATCAAGTACATGTTTGGTATTTGTTAATGAAGGACATATTAGATGTAATGGCACTTGTGAAAAGAATGAGAGTGCGTGATAAGGTCGTACCATACATGACATCTGACTGGAAGAGTGCAATCAGAGCAAAACGAAAGGTCCCAGCAAGGTATTTTAAAAAATAAGACACAAGAAAACTGGGAGCTCCGACGAAGAACAAGGAAAGCGGCAACCAAACAGGGAAGAATAGCGATAAAAGAGTTTTGGGGAAAAAAGACTGAGGATTTGAAAAATAATCCAAAATGCTTTTACAAAACGTTTAAGCCCTTTCTGAGTACCAAGAACTGTACTAAAGGTGAAGAGATTCATTTAAATGTGAACGGAAGTGTAATTAGGGATCAAAAACAAATCGCGGAAGTACTAGTAGAGCATTTTGCAACGTTAGCGGATGGAATTGGAGGTGATGCGGCTAAGTGCAAGGCAATGGAGGATTTTAAAGATCATCCCAGTGTCCAGCAAATTCAACAGGAAACCGAAAATGGGAAGCAGACCATTGATGTTACTTACTGTCACGTAAGGACAAGTTCTCGCTGTACTTGAATCGTTGAACATTAGAAAAGCTACTGGCAGTGACGGTATTCCAGCAAAAGTTTTAAAAATCGGAGCTGAGGAGTTGTCTAAACCACTAACTACCTTATTCAACTCATGTATACGAAACAGCGTGTGGCCCAGCGATTGGAAGAGAGAGGACCGGACCATGGTGTATAAAAAAGACGATAAGCTCTCCAAGGAGAACTATCAACCAAATACCATCGTCCCATACGTGAATAAAATCATGGAGAAACTGGTGGGTTCGTAGATATCCGCTGGTTTCGACTCCCGCATGTATGAAAATTCTAACGCGTATCGTAGACATCACAGTTGCGAAACTACACTAATTAACCTAATAGAGTCATGAAGAAAGGCAAGGGATGATAAACTCGTTGTGAACATCCTCTCCACAGACATGTCAAAAGCCTTTGACTCACTCCATCCGCCTTTGCTGCTAAGCTTAAAGCATACGCTTTTCAGGAGAGTTTGATATAACTCCTGAACAGCTACCTTTGTGACAGATACAACCGTGTCAAAATGGGAAATGAAGTCAGTTCGTATCGGCTAGTAAATAGAGGCTGTCCTCAGGGCTCCGCCCTTGGGCCGTTGTTATGGAATATCTTTCAGAACGACCTCCCTCTGTGCGTATCGACTGACAAATCAATGTTTGCGGATGACCATCAAATGTATCATAGTGGTCATAATCAAGAAGAGGTCACATTTAAGCTAAGTGCAAGTGCAGATCAGGGAACTAGGTGGTACAAGTCCGATCTACTGGTAGGGAACCTTAAGAAATACCAAACGTTGAACATCGGCTACCTAACGGAAACAACTAGCTCTGAAAGAGCAAGTGGAGGGATCCGCATAAATAATGAGGAAATTAAGACCGCGGAAACTCTCAAACTTTTAGGGATAACAATAGATTCCAGATTAAATTTTTCTGAACATGTAAAATCAGCGTGCAAGAAGACCAGTCAAAGAATTGCTGTCCTCATGCGACTAAGAAATCTAATCCCTATCAAGGCCAAACTCCAACTGTACAAAGCAGCTGTGTTACCTCATCTTACATACTGCTGCCACCTAGTGTAGAACTTTTGTAGAGCTAGTGATTCGCACAAGCTTGAACGGCAACAAGAAAGAGGCTTGAGAGTGGTGTACAATGAAAAGCAAGCTAGTTATCTTCAATTATTGGAAAGGGCCCAGCTGCCAAATTTGATGGACAGACGTTTGCAGCACATTTGTATTCTTATGTATAAAGTTACATGTATAAACTAAGTGATATTTGCAATCTTTTTAAAGAACATAGCTCTAAGTATAATTAGAGGCAATCTGATTTCTCCACTCCTTGGTATAACTCTGTAACTTATGGTGGGCACTCACTGCCACACTTAGGACCTAAATTATGGGCGAAGCTGTCATCAGATGACAGATCAGCCAAAACACTTAATAAGTTTAAAAGGCGCATTCGTGGCAAAGATCTTGCCGAGTTACTAGAAACCGGCTGCAAGGGTTGTATCCTCTGCTCAACATGACATTTTTACCTTTTTTTTTACCTTAATGCTCATATTTTAATGTAGATGTCTTAGTCTTTTAATTCTGTATTGTATTTTATATAATTCTGCATTGTATTTTATACTAATATGTGACCCCTTATTAGTATGGGTTCTCCCAGGCTACATGGTTTGACACTTTAATAAATTTTATCATTATTATTATTTTTTTTATTTATTATTTTTAAAATTTTTTTTCATTATCAGCGAAGCGCGACGAACCAATCAAAGTGGTTTCTGAACCTTCGGGAGACTCCGTTTTATCTTATGCAAAAATGCAACAACACAATCTACAGTTATCACTTGCATTGCTCCCTTGTTAATGTCTCTCGCTTGAGGGGCTTTCCATTTACCTTTACTCTTTGCCATCGATATCCTCTGAGCACCTCCTTGATTTTTTCATTGCAAAGTGAATGAACTCTGACGAAGGGCTAACACTCGAAACGTCAGCTTTTCTACTCTTTACGGTGGCCAATTTACGTTTTCAACTCAGTTGTTAACACTAAATTACCTGCTACACTCCCCCATCGACGCAGCACCACAGTTTCTTTAGAAACTTAACCCATTTATCTTAGAAAGAGAGTCGATTTGAGTGCGTATTGAACACTCTCTCAGCTGTGTTTAAAAGTTATCACTAATTATAAACATGCGCCAAGACCGTGCGACCACAACAAGCATGGCTTACCTTGTTTTTTACTCAGCCTTAGCACGGGTCACTTATAATGGTGCTCGTTGCACCCGCTTTCTGGTTTCCTCGTACTCCTTCCGTTCATTTTCTTTACACTGAAATGCAAATCTAGGCAGACGTTTTTAAACGATAACAAACATTTACTTCGGTGTAAAAAGTATTTAGGTACGAGCTATTTGGGGGCACTATATATAGCCGACATAAAATTTAGCCGACGATAAAACATTGAAAAATTAATTGAGAGCCTTATATCGACTGCACAGGGATTATTCTAATCCACATCTATAATCTAAAATCTACAATCTATAATCTGAATCCAAAATCTAAAATCATTATTATGATCTAGAATGCTACTGATGTCTAGTTTGCTTAATGGTGTTTTTAGAGGACTGAAGGTTAAATAATTATTTGCTTGTTTGCACAGTCTGCTCCTTAGTGCAGGTCTGAAGTGTTTGAAAAATCAAGGTAAATTAAAATATTTGTTGCGCAAATGATAACTTGAACTATTTCAAATGGTTTAAGCTATTATCCAAACGTATTATCTGAAACTCTATATCCACAGCTGCAAAGGATGTTGACCTTCAGCTTGAAGGAAAAGGAGTAACCAATCATTCTGTGAGGAAAACCTGTATTTTAAGGCTACTCGCTGCATATATTACGGATAACTTGTTAGCCCAACTGTGTGGACACAAAAGCACGGATAGTCGGCGAGTTCGGAACACCAAAAGAGGATGTCCATGACCCTCAGTCGAGTTACTCCTTTTGAAACCGGTATGAAATAATGAATGTCAAGTCGTCACTTGTTCGGCCGCAGAAATCACCACCAGTACGCAGAAGATTCATTGACCATGAACCATTCTAACATCCCCCTACTGTCTTACGCCGCTCTACTTCTTTCTTGCCGGTGCAAACGTAAGACCTAGCTCTGGATGCACCTTCCAGATATTTCATGGCGATGTAAAAGTCGATACGAATTAGAATTTTCCGGTTCTGAGCCAAAATAAAAAGAGATGAACTCTCTTTCTTAAAGGAAATCGAACTGGGTGCTTATATTAAACTTTCCTCTGCATTTCAAGGATTCTCTTATCAAAAATACACGCCAAGACGGCGTAACTGCAATAAGCGTGGCTTACCTTGTTTTACCTCGATTTGGGCATATTATGGTATTCCTTACTCCCGCTTTCATTCCTTTCATTCCTCCATTTTACTCTTTCAGCGAAAACAGGGAAGGCGTTTCAGGTCTATTTTGCGATCTTACTTTCATATGCCCTTCTGTCGACTAAGCCGACTTCGCACTTGTGAAAGACATACAAAGGAAGGAAAAAGACGAAAAGCTTAAGTTGTAACCACGCCCGCCCTCGAATCTAACTTGTCACTCTTACTTTTCATACAGGATACCCTGGACAGGATAGTTCAGTTTTCCGTTTCAACAGCTTCATTCATTTTATTTACATACCATCATGTTAATATAAGCTGTTTGG